AGACAGAACTCTTAAGAATGTAAGAAAAAGTGCTTGTACATGTATACAAGTACATGGGAATTTATATTTGTTTATGGAAATGTATACCTACATATCCATGTAGTATGTCTGCACTGATATGATATGATATAAGTGCAGGGTTAATCTTTGTTTGGTACTTGGCGTTTTTGGGCGCCACCCTGCACACACTCTGTTTTTTTTTTTTTTTGACGCATTTTTTTCATGAATAAGGAGGCATTTGGATATGGTAACAGGTAGTTGGCGACATTTTGGATAAAGGTTACTACCTAGGACTTTGGGAATAATGTGAAGTACTCAGTTCCGATTACGCATTTTTGTGAGGAAATGAGAGATCATGAGATATGTCATGTGACATTAATGGACGAATCACTGTTCTTTAATCAGAAAAGGGGGTAAATTTGTAAAAATATCTGCTGTACAGCATTAGTTTCATTCTATGTTCTGTGAAACAGTGTTGTTTAATATTTGGATCCCATGGCCCTATATAAAGTAAATCCGAAATTTTTATTGCGTTTATGTGTAATTGAAAAGAATTGCTTAATTGCGGATAAGTATGAATGTCCAACATGTGGGTATGAAATGAGATTGTGTGAAAGGAAGGATATTACAGATAAGTTTGAATGGCGGTGCAAGAAATCTGGTGAAAATGGACATTTTGTGATCCGCCATGCACTCAAGATTCTGTAGAAGATTAGGTAAGTTAGTATTTTTAATTATTTGAGGATATTATTTTTATGCATTGTTCTAAATGTAAGGAGTAAATAAATTAATATGGTATTATTGGAAAATTGTTATTAGCAATGATTTAGTTTAAAGTAATTAGGATTGTAAGCTAATTTTTATTAATTTAATGTATGTGCTTATTTATATTTTAAGTAGTGTTTTTTAATTTAATTATATTTTAATTTAATGATCGTGATTTTGAGAGTTATATGTTTGTAGTATTTTGGAATACGTTTGAGTAGAAGTAAATGTGCATGGAAAGAATTTAAGTATTTGACACTAAGTATTTGGAACCATTTTTAATGTTTGCGTTAGAAATTCGTTGGTGACGTTTATAATAGATAATTTAGAGGGAAAAGTTTTTGGATATTTTATTTATTTTATACGTGCAAATGTTCATCCTTGGAAAGGGTATATACTTTTTCGCGATCAGGTAATTTCATATATGTCCTTTTTACCGAATTTAAAGATTCACAAAATTTTCATGCATTTTCGTGAAATTTTTCTAATTTATGAGAAAAAAGCAGTGTACATGGATATAGTGAAGAGTGTGCGCAATGCCATTTTTGTGCAATTCTGGGATGTTTTTTTAAGTAAAAATAAGTCGACGTGTACATGGTTTAATTATATTTTAATTAAATGATAGTTATTTTGTGAATTATATGTTTGTAGGCAATTTGGTATACGTTTGAGTGGAAGTAAACGTGCATGGAAATAATTTAAATATTTGACACTAAGTATTTGTAACCATTTTTAATGTTTTGTTATGAATTCGTTGGTGACGTTTATAATAGATAATTTAGAGGTAAAAGTTTTTGGATATTTTATTTATTTTATACGTGGAAATGTTCATCCTTGGAAAGGGTATATACTTTTTCGCGATCAGGTAATTTCATATATGTGCTTTTTACCGAGTTTAAAGATTCACAAAATTTTCCTGCATTTTCGTGCAAATTTTTGTAATTTATGAGAAAATAGCAGTGTAGATCGATAAAGTCAAGAGTGTGCGCAATGCCATTTTTTGTGCAATTCTGGGATGTTTTTTTAAGTAAAAATAAGTCGACGTGTACATGGTTACTGTGTATGTGCGATTTTGAAAAACGCGGCAAGGAGTTTGCGATTGTGCACTTTTTCCCAATTTTGCAGTTAATATTTGTCATGATTAAGCAGTTTTGTTCCATAAAATTTCTAGCATAAGTGTAATTCGGCTAGTAGATTGTTGGAAAAAGTGTTGAGTAAATAAAAAGAAAAGAAACATGTCTTTACTTCGTGAAGACAAAATGGCGGCGAAAAAAAAAAAATAGAGGGTTGCTGTAGCAGAGTTGGTCGCCAAATTTTCGCCAAGTTACCATAATCCAAAGATCAATTTTTTTTTTTACTAATTTTTTTTTCAACAAGTAGCCGTTTCTTTTCTTTTGAACAAAAGTCTAATCATGACAAATTAGCGAAATTAGAAACAAACGCCCTGCTGCTGCGTTTAAGAAGTGCACGTACACGGTATCATCCATGTACACGTCGACCTACTTTCACTTAAAAAAACATCCCAGAATTGCACAAAAATGGCATTGTGCACACTCTTGACTTTATCCATGTATATTGAAGTGCAAAATCCTAGCTAGTAACCTTTATCACCTTACCAAAATGTAGCCAAACTACCTGTTACCATATTCCAAAGATTAACCAAGTGCAGATATGCACATAAAGCGGAAAGCATGCGCAGCCTTAAATGGGAATAACGTATATACAGACACGTACACACACAGGCATATATATATATATATATATATATATATATATATATGTGTGTGTGTGTGTTTGCGTGTGGATTTATGCATACATGTATAAACGTACAGATATATGTATGTGTATATATTTCATCATCAAGCTCTTGAAGAAGTTTTCGTATTTCTTCTTCAATCAGACCTCTTTTCCTTTTCGGCATATTGCCTAAAAAATGTCAAAATAATTCCTAAGAAACTTAGGAAAATATGCAATATTCTAGAGCAACGCAAGGCTCTGTTTACAATTTACAAACGCAGTTATCGCAAATTCTGTAGCTATAAGAACTAAAAGGGAAAAATTGGGAAAAACCGGATACTTAACACAACGACCTTTGAAAGAGATGGTTAAAACTTTAGGGACATAAAATTTGACATTTCAGCCTGGAAGATGGGAGGAAAAAGGCATGGCCATAGGACAACCCGTTCTTTCAAACAGAGGACTTATGTCCACTATAATGGCCATCCCGTCTTCAAAAGGTTAATATAGGATATAGATCATCTGCAAATTTAGCTTTAAGGTAACTTATAATCACACAGCGTTTAGCAAAATCAGAGAACCTGAGGTGTTTTGCATTTCTCTTGTAAATCAGCAATAAGCATATATCAACTAGAGATTTAATAAACTGCAATTCCCCTGCAGCTCACTATATAAGGCCACTGGGATGACAATAATAATCTATCCTGGATTTAATTACAGAAGCTGATTCTGTGATCCATATCCCATATAAATACAAGGCAATTTCCTATTCAAAGCACAGAATTCTCAAGAGTTTTGTCATGACAAATAATTTAATTGCTGACATATTTAACCTCAAGCTAATGTTAATTTCTCAATGAAGTTCACATATCAATAATAATTCTCAATTTGATAGGATTTCTCTCTCAATATATTTATTTTAATCATATAGGAATTCCAAGAGAAAGGACAGCTTCCACAATTAATCTATTTCCATTAAACAGTTAAAAATCTTGAAATAACATTATTTTGCAACAAAAGATCTAATTATTATAAATTGTGTTGGATGTACTTCTGTTTCGTTTTTTAGTTGATTTCTTTGAAACTTTTCTACAAATTTATGAAGAACTACTAATATACAACCATTCATTGTTGTTAATGTTAAAAATGTTAACTAAGAGGAAAAATAACACTGAACATTGGTACTTCCGTATTATAGCGGCACCCAAGACTGAATCACTAATCAACAGAGATTTCTCGCGACATGTTCTTACATCTCATTACATGTTACATCTTGGTTGATTAGCTATTAAATTTTGCAGGCTGCTACAATAAAGAAGTACCTAAAAGCAGAGACTGATTTAGATTTGATAAGGCCCTAAGCTATTCGAGATATAGGGCCCTTTAAAAGTCTATTTTACTATATTTTATTTTTTTTTTGGGGGGGGGCCCTAAGCTATAACTTATGTAGCTTATACGTAAATCCTGCAGTGCCTAAAAGCGTAACATACAACATTAATTTGGAACGGCGATACACATGAAAGTGAAAGCACTTGCAAAATAAATTTATTTCCTTTTACCTCAATAAACTACATATTATTACAGAAATTATAGTTATATAATTTAGAAAACTGATTTATAATGAAAGAATATTATCAAGTTGTACTAATTTCCTAAACATGGAAGAAGGACAAATTAATCAAGTCTTAAGAAGCAAAAATTTGTACACAACATATGGATAAATTATACAAAACCATGCGTTTAAAGATAACTTATTTTTTATATGTCATACCTAAAGTGCCGAATCGCCCACTTATTTGACTGGCGCATTTTACAAGAGGAAGAATTGGATTTTTGCCAATTTTCTTTCATTTTTTAAGTGAAAATAGGTCGATGTGTACATGGATTACGTCAAGGCAGTGCGCAATACCATTTTTGTGCAATTCTGGGATGTTTTTTTAAGTGAAAATAGGTTGATGTGCACATGGATACCGAGTATGTGCAATTCTTAAAAACAAGCCAAGCATTGGGCGATTCTGCACTTTCACCTATATACGTTCTATATTATGTTCCTGTTTAAGCATTTTCACAACAACGTAGTACAAAGAGAATGACTTACAAGTGCATTCTTACATGACATTATAACTAGGAACATTTAGGCGTAAACACGGAGTACACAAAGCTCCGCGTTCGTGATGGTCGCAAATGTTAACTAAATGCGTAAACTTAATCCTGCCAATGCCACAATTTAAAGTTATTTAGTGTTTCTTGTGCAGGGAAATTAAGTAGGGAGAATTTTAAAAAAGGTCAAAACTTTGGGAATTTTTTATATTCACACTTCTTATAAATCTTTACTTTTATTTCAGCCATAAATGTTTAATTGATCATGCGTTAACATTAAGAATCTTGTGTTATTTTATCGAGTTAAAAGATACGAAAGCCTTGATGATTTGAAATTTTCAGTAAAAGTACTGTAACTTCTAATACGAAAAACTGTTTACATGAAATGACAGCTTTTGCGAAGCGGTATTGTACTTCATTGTTGAAAAGAAAATTTCTTCTAAAATTAGTGTACTGTTTCGTTTTTCTCGTACTTTCATGTGTCAGAATATATTTTAAATTTAGTTTTTCTCAGAGAATATTAAAATCTGATGATGGGTAAGTTCTCGTATTTCTCATTTCCTTTTTTTCAAGAAATTTAAAAGCCCCGGCATGAAATTTTTGAGTGAAAATTAAATTGTACAAGGCAAAATATATTCTTTTATGTAATTAATTTTCGCGTATTATTTAGATTGATGATGTTATTTGTTTAGTATGACGACTTTGTGAGAAATAAAGAATTGCTATAAAGATATTTGGAAATAACACCATTCAATAGTTTCTTTTTTTTGGGGGGGGCGGCATGTTTAGGGCAGGGAAAACACTTTTGGAGGGGTTATGGTTAGTGCACGGAAATCATTTAAGGATATTTGTCTCTTTTTATAAACGAAAGAAATTCGTTAAGTTACTTTTGGTCTTAATTGTTGTAATTAATGCAGAGTATTTAAACAAGAGCTTCTTTTCTGGAAAGATTGATTTACAGTACAATTTCTTAATGCATATTTAGTTTATTAAAGTAATAACCATTAATGAAGGTTATATTAGGTTATTTGAATATGATAAAGCACATAAGGCTATCTGTTTAAGTAAAGGGATAATTGCATGCAGTACTTTCTAAGGGAAACTGGCTTGCATTCATGTCACACATGGGCAAAATCATGAAAATCAACTATGCAGGCAGCCCATTTGTCTGGTATCAAACCTGGTTCGAATTTCCAGTATTTAATTCTCTTCACCTCTCAGCCACTGGTGGGGCCTGTTCATGAAGGTTGAGCAATGCACATTTAGTAAAAATTTTACAATTTATCTGTGGATTTCAGTATTCTATTTTCTTTCTTGTAATATGGCATTTGAATTTTTTTTTTAAATAGTAGATTATCTTTGCCATCTGTACAAAAGAAAAGGACCTTAATGATAATGATACAAAACTTTCAAGGCCTCTTTCTTTTCTTCCAGTAAATGGAAGATTTAAATAATTTAATAGAATAATTTCCGTAATTATGATACCATAAATCAAAAAGAATTTTTTTCAGTGTGTTATTTTAACATAAATTAGAAAATTTAAACTTTCAGTTTCTGTTTTACTACAAATTTCTGTTGCTGCTAATGTTCTTGAGCACTTCTTTACCTAAACCTTGAGTTTCCTTCGAATTATCTATCAAAAATAATTAATCTGATGACTGATATATTTTTTTACAATTTTTACTGTAATTTTTATTATTGTTACTATGAAGGTTTTACCGAAAGTAATGCAGAATTAGCCTTACTTTTCTATTAATGGACAATAGATAGTCCAAACTCTGCAAGTTGCTGAAGAGGCATCTTTTATACAAGTGTATTATTTAACATAGCCTCCATTACAAATAATGGGTAAAAGTATAGTTTAGGGTACCCCTTGGCGAAACTTGGCGATTTTTGGCGGTACATGGATACCGATTATGTACAATTCTTTGACTTGTTATTTTGGCTTGCGAAGCGACGATTTTGACCCAAAAATCGCCGCTACACAAAGCCAAAATAACAAGATAAACAATTGCACAAAGTCGGTATCCATGTCCACATCAACGTATTTTCACTTTAAAAAAAATCCCCGAATTGCACAAAAATGGCATTGTGCACTCCTTTGGCCTTATCCATATACACGTCGACCTATTTTCACTTAAAAAAAAGATCCCAGAATTGCACAAAAATGGCGTTGCGCACTCCCTTTACTTTATCCATGTACACATCGATATATTTTCACTTAAAAAGTCAAAGGAGCACCAAATTCTACTATATAGGCAAACAAAAAATACATAATAAAATACATTTTAAACCAAACAATAAAATAACATAAAAAAGGAAAAACATGTTATACATTTAAGCACTACCAAAAACATTCACTTACCATGATTTTCGAGTTCTCTTCGTACACCCAGAGCCACGTAAAAATCAAAATATCAATCATACTCAAATGACTTTTTTCAAACCAGGTACTCTTTCTGATCGAACACTTCACATAGTGACCATCTGAACCTTTCTTCCTACGAACCCATTAAAATCCATCTAAACAGTTTTTACGTTCGACTAGACGCATATCCTTCCTACATACAGAACAACATACTTGTAATGGCTACTAAGTAAATCTTCATTTACACACCAGTCAATTAGAGCTCTTTTCCCCTTTCGCTCCAAATCGTACAGAAACTTCAAATTAATCTTACTATATTCGGTTATTCTACCGTCTAAAGAATCAAACCAACACACACCACAACAACGCTTACAAAACATCCCATGATTCAAAATTTCCCAGAGTCATGCACCCGATTACATCACAATAGGGTTTCCATAACATTCAACTACTCAGGCTACCATAAATGAAACAACAACTTGGCGGTAAATCAAACAACAACTTCGCCATAATACAAGGGTACCTTAAAGTCTACTTTACCCAAATAATGCATTTGTACATTCTTGAATCCTTTTTGGAAAAACTCGGATGGGCACTGTTTTGTTCATTTCTTTACAGTCACTTTCACTTCATTTATATCAGCAAATCAGTATCCCCATAGATTGTACTTCAGTGACCAAAAAATTAGGAGTCCGAAGATGCTAGATATAGATGCTGTATGGGGGAGGAGAGACTATTGTCTAGCCCAGTTCTTTGATTCATTGATTGCTACCAAAGATGTGTGGAGAGCATGTATTATCGTGGTGCATTCGGATTATGTTCAAGTTCTTGTTTGGTCTTGTCTTTACAATAGTTTCTTGAAGCTTTTGGAGTAACTGAATCTATTGATTGCACGTCAAAGTACAGTCACATTCCAGAGAATGATATGCTTAGTCATCATGAACTTCATTGCTGTCTGCAGAAGAGGATTATTGTCATTTCTTGGGCTCATATTTCACCTCTTGGTCATAGAAGTACATCCAAGTGTCATCCTTAGTTCTGAAAATTGGGAGGAAAAAATATGTCTTCATTACATCAAAAGCTTCCAAGAGATCAGAGCAAATGACCACCTTTTTCTTCTTCAAATCAGTTTCATCTGTTGAGTATCCATTATACTCAAAATTTATGATAATATAAATTTTCTATCTTCTAATAGTACTGTGATTGCAGCTCACTTATGCAGGAAGCTCAATGATTGTTCACTTGGATCAGTTTCGTCATCTGTTGAAGATTGCAGTTGATGTTCTGTCAGTGAATGATTGATTTTCAGTACTAGTTTACTGTTTTTAAACTTTTCATCCATCTATACACATTGCTTTTGTTAATATGTTCATCGCACTTAAACCATAAAATTTAATTCAACAGCAATATCACAAAATATTTAAAAAGAGCATATCTTTAGAATTTCCAATACACAGTTTCGTGCACTGGAGATAAAAATATTTTTTTTCGTACAGTGTTGCCATTGCTCACTTTGAAATCACGGAGATTGTTAATCAAAAATTCGTTAAAATTTTACAAAATATGAAATAGGTAACAAATTCCATATTCCAAATTTGGGCGTCCAGATGCCCATATTCAAGTGGAGAACTATGTGGTTAATCTTCGGATTATGGTAACTTGGCGAAAATTTGGCGACCAACCCTGCTACAGCAACCTGCTAGTTTTGTTTTGGACGCCATTTTGTTTTCACGAAGTAAAGACGTTTTTTTTTTTACTCAACATTTTTTCCAACAATCTGCTAGCCAAATTACACTTATACTAGAACTTTTATGGAACAAAAACGCTTAATCATGATGAAGATTAGGTGTGAAATTGGGAGAAAGTGCAGAGTCGCAAACTGCTTGCCGCGTTTTTAAGAATTGCACATACACGGTATCCATGTGCACGTCGATCTCTTTTCACTTAAAAAAAAAAACATCCCAGAATTGCACATAAATGGTATTGCGCACACTCTTGACTTTATCCATATATACTACTAAAGTCCTAGCTAGTAACCTTTATCGCCTTACCAAAATGTTGCCAAACTATCTGTTACCATATTAAGTCAACTATGTCAAAAGTCAAAGATTAGTCAACTATGTTATTCAAAATTTGATGTTTCTGTGTGCTGTTGTTTTTTTACAGTGCAAGGAACTTGCATACATTCATGCAGATTCTTCATTATTTAAATTCTTTAAATATAATGGAGGGCTTTAATATATGGTGGCACCAATTTAAAAAGTGGAATACTGTAGTGGACGATGCAAAATGCCAAAATGAAATTAATAGCCCTTCTGGGCAATTTGCCCCTTTAGGCTAAAAAAAAAAAAAAAAATTAAGATGACATTTTTATTACTTTAAGTATGTTCCTTATTTTATTATGTTGAGTGTATTTGTGTGCTAAAATAATAATAATATATATCAGTGGTTCTAAGTCTTTTTTGCCCCATGCGTACCTTTCATGATTTCCCCTTTCTAAAACTCAAAATACATTTCTTTAAATTTAGATTCCTTTTTTATAAATTAAACAAGAAAAGGAATGGAAAATTTTGATAAATACCAAAACTTGAATAAAAGTAGTTTTTTATAGTCATAAACTAAATACTTAACGGGTGAATAAAAAAGGCTGGTCACTTAATCCCCTGAAACTATGAAATTCCCCTCTGGTTAAGAAACCTTGATTTATATATTTTCACAACAGTGTATCCAAAATATTGTGTAGCATATAATGAGTTTTATTTTATCTTATGGACTTCTATTTATTGTTTTCAGAAGAAATTTCAGATGCTTTATATAAATTGAATCTTGGACTAAAAGAGAACAAAACTTCTCCAGAAATTCAGAAGATTTTGATGACTGTAAATAAACAGCTTTTTGCTGAAAGTAAGTATTTTTTTTAACTTTTTTTAAGTTGTATTTTTTTTTATATCATGGCTAATGAAGTGCATACTTAATAGTGGAACTGAAATAAGAATCTATACATTGATATATGCAGTAGTCAGACTTGTGCAACTTGTTTATTTGTAAACAGATTATGGTGACAGAAATAAAATAGCTTCATGGTACAAATATGTTGTTTGTAAATGTATTGCGATATATATTTAAAAATATCATTACAATTGTAGTTGTTTTTCAGTTAATTATGCACCAAATGTTGCACTCTTTATTTTACTTACCAAATGTATTATTACCAAATATTTATTTTATTTTGCTTATTACTTTTTTTATTTTACTCTTTGTTTTACTTTGTGTCTATTTATGTAATGACATCACTACAAATAAGCAAACAGGATAAACAGCAATTCTTTAATTTTCTTGATATAAGAAACGATCATTATGGATTATGCAGTTTGGCTGTTACAAAATGATGAAGATTTCTAATTAAATTTTTCCAACAGAAAGGTGTTGTCTGTACTCAGAAAATTGTTCAGAAAACCACAAAATGAGGTTATATTTTACTGCTGCAAGAGCATTAAAATGGCATTGCAACAAAAGCTTTGATATCATAAAAGGAAAGGATTATTAATAAAAAATACAACATAGTAACGAGTCTGCTTAATAAACATTAAAAACATATTGGGGTACAACTCTCATATACGCCCTAATTGCACCAAATGTGGCAATATGTGTTCTGCGCTGGTTTTTGGCGCAATTGCGTGTTGTATGGCAACCCTGTTGACGTAAAAAACATTAATACATAGTAAGTGCATTTTATTTTATTCTTGTCTTATTTTGTAGAATGTTATGTTCATTGTTTTTTTAGTATGAATTTGTGTTTGAAATTTATATTAGTTATTTTAGTTTATTTTGTTGATTAGTGCGTAGTGTGTAGATTGTGCAATTTGTAGATATTTTTGAAGTTGAAACAGAACGATGTGTACATGGTATTCTTTGAAATTTATTGTTGTAATGTTAATTTATTAAAGCAAGGTGTGCGTAGTTCATAGATTCGTTCGTTGCCTAGATTGTGCCATTCGTAGAATTTTTTTTTAAGTTAAAACATATCGCTGTGTACATGGATTCTTGTCAAATAATTTTGGTTAGAAACTTTACGTTTTTGATATCTAAATTATTTGTTTTTGTTTCGGATTTTTAGCTTAAATTGTGTGTTCAAAAACATAGTTTTTGGAGACATTTTAGTCTTAAAGTTCGAAATGTAGACAAAAAATTTAGATAATAATATGGCAGCAGGGAGTTTCTCACCAAAAATGTTTGGCGAGAAATTTGGTGACTTGACGGCGCATATCAGATTAGTTCCCATATTGGAATATAATATTAACAAAAATAAGCAATAAAAAATAATGAAAATAAAGCACTGCTTGTGTCTATTAATAGATGTAGACTGACAATAATATATTGATTTAAATTCATTGACAATTATTGTCAGTAATGTTTATAGAAAATAATGATGTTTAGTTTCAGTTTGGAATATAAAATAACAACTAAATAAACTTTTTCTTGCATTAGCTTTAGCGAATTTATTGAATAAGACTTCATAAGTTAATAACTGAACATTATTGTTTTTAAAAACACCATTGACAGTTATTTTAATTGCAATGTAGATAAGGAATTTCTTAAGTAATTTTTCTTGATAACTGAAAATGATTGTTTGCTACTTAAGTTGCTTAAAGAAATTTTCAAAAAATCTTTTTAAAACTGTTTCTGTGTTAAAAAATGTAGCTTACAAAACTGCAGTTAATAATTGTTACACATTAACAGGATTGATGGCATTTTTTTCTTTCAAGAATGCGATAAAATGACTAATTCCATCTTTAAAACATTTAATGTCAGTATTATTTTGATATTTTGTATGCATGCTCTTAATAAATTTATTAAGCTGGATATCAAGCATTTTAAATTTGAAAAATAATATAAAATCCTTTAGTACATCAATGTTAATGGCTCTTTTAAGAGGTAATTCATGTCAGAAATAACATAAAGGATATTTATCACAATTTTTTTTTCTTGCAGTAAAATATGTTTAATTTAGAATTGTTTATTCACACTACAATTTTCCTCTGCCTCTTAGTAATTTTGTTTTTCTGTTAGTAAATTGGGGCAGAGTAGACTTTAAGGTACCCTTTGTATTATGGCGAAGTTGTTGTTTGATTAATCACCAACTTGTTTAATTTATGGTAGCCTGAGTAGTTGAATGTTATGGAAACCCTATTGTGACGTAATCGGGTGCATGATTGTGGGAAATTTTGAATCATGGGATGTTTTGTAAGCGTTTTTGTGGTGTGTGTTGGTTTGATTCTTTAGACGGTAGAATGGCCGAATGTAATAAGATTAATTTCTTCAAATTAATTTAAGCTTCTGTACGATTTGCAGCGAAAGGGGGAAAGAGCTTTAATTGACTGGTGTGTAAATGAAGGTTTACTTAGTAGCCATTATAAGTGTCCTGTATGTAGAAAGGATATGCGTCTAGTCGAACGTAAAAAACCGTTTAGATGGATTTGAATGGGTTTGTAGAAAGAAAGGTTCAGATGGTCACTATGTGAAGCATTCGATCAGAAGGAGTACCTGGTTTGCAAAAAGTCATTTGAGTATGATTGATATTTTGATTTTTACATGGCTCTGGGTGTACGAAGTGAACTCGAAAATCATGGTAAGTGAATATTTGTTTTTGGTAGTGCTTAAATGTATAACATGTTTTTCCTTTTTTATGTTATTTGATTGTTTGGTTTAAAATGTATTTTATTGAGATTATGTATTTTTTGTATGCCTATATTGTAGAATTTGGTGCTTCTTTGACTTTTAAGTGAAAATATATCGATGTGTGCATGGACAAAGTAAATGGAGTGCGCAATGCAAGTTTGTGCAATTTTGGGGATTTTTTTTTAAGTGAAAATAGGTCGACGTGTACATGGATAAAGTTAAAAGAGTGCGCCATGCCATTTTTGTGCAATTCAGGGATTTTTTTTAAAGTGAAAATAGGTCGACGTGTATATGGATAAAGTCAAAGGAGTGCGTCATGCCATTTTTGTGCAATTCAGGTTTTTTTTTTAAGTGAAAATAAGTCGATGTGTACATGGATACCGAGTTTGTGCAGTTGTTTGTCTTGTTATTTTGGCTTTGTGTAGCGGCGATTTTTGGCGCAAAAATTGCCACTTCGCAAGCCAAAATAACGGTTCGAGGAATTGCACAAAATTGGTTTCCATGTACCGCCAAAAATCGCCAAGTTTCGCCAAGGGGTACCCTAAACTATACTTACCATAAATTGGTATCATTCTTAATATCATCAAATTTATTCTTGATATTGATGACCAAATTCAAGAGCAGTTCCAGAATAACAATAAATTGTAGTGCATGTCTTGTAATGATTTGCTTGTACAGTCAAATACTGCTATTGCCAAACATTGCATATCATTTTGCTTCCTGGGCACTATTCGTGAACCTTTAGTCTGGAGTTATAAGTATGTAAAAGGTCTAAATTGTTCATGAAAATGCCTGATAAGACAAGCACATAATAGTCAAATTCTAATACATAGTAAATGGGACGTTCTCATTCAATGAATTTCTTGAGTCATGCCATAGAAAAATTGTAATCATGTTACATTCCTTTCCAATAGTAACTGTCTGATGTCCTTGAAGAATAGCCTAATAATTAACAAAGTTATAAATGTGCATTATACATTAACCTCAGGTGAATCCCAAAACATTTATACAGTTGCATTGCAAAGTGATTAGGTGTTTATTTTAGCAGGATATATGAAAAGTGTGCAACGCCCTTGCTAGAATTTAACATCCAAACCTCCCACTTGATAACTGGATGTGCTATCCTATAAAAGCATGGGGTAAGAAAGGAGAAAAATCCCTTATATTCTTCCTCACTTAAAGGTGACTGAGGAGGCAGGGGTACAGTTATGAGATTCAGTTGGTGACAAATTATTGTCTACCATATTTTAATTGAGGCAGCACTAGTGGAGCAATTAGATTTTATTTTTGAAGGTGGGAAATTTTGAAAAATATGCAATGCTTTAGCCTGGATCTGAAGTTTGTACCTCCTGGTTGCTACCTGGATGTGCTTTCAACCAGATAATGAAGCCATGGGTTAAGGAAGGAGAAAAGTCCTTTATAGTGTATTGGTTTTGTATAAGTCCGTGCTCAACACCTTACATTCATAGCTGTGCTTAGGTGAGAGTCAGTTTCATATCTGTGCAAAATCACTGATGATTGTGCAATATGTTCTTTTACTTGATTTTTTATATTCAGCAAGAAATTTTGATATAGCAATTAGTCAATCTTCATAAGTGAATTTTTTGTCTTAGGTTACCTCCCGGGGGTCGAAGTAGAGAACTCTGCAAAGTCACTGTCTAGTATCTATGCTTAGGCAGTCTTGGACACGGAGTTATAAAATTTATGAACCTAGTGGTTCTGGAGGCCCCAAAAAGGTCACTTATTGGCCAGCCCATGGGTCTGGCAAGTCCTTGCTGGGTGATGTTGCTCTACGACGGGCAGCCTGAGCAACTGGCAGGTAGCAAATAGATGACCAGTGTCACTGTATGGTGATTAGTGCCTCTCTCTCCAAGGAGCGGAGAAGGAGGTTGAACCTCTGTAACCCTTCTAAGGGGGGTTTGGCTGTGTAGTGCAAAATTTATGGCCTCCAGGCTGGGCAGAGCATGTATAACAAATCTAGTTGTCTTAGGCTACTTTAAGCCTTTGACTATGAATTAATTTTTTTTTACCCCATTTTCTATCCAAGTGAACAAAATGTGTCATAAATAAAGTAAATTTAGCATTTGGGATTTTTTTAACAAGTGGTTTCAAGCCAAAGACTGGGATACATATGTTTCAGCCATAGTTAATGTTGGAATACGTAAGTCCCACATGTAGTGATCAACTTACACGCCTATTATTCTGGAAAACTTTATTATATGAAATAGATTTTACATCATATGGTACAGGGTAAAGCAGCAAGTTTTACCAATCTTTATGACTAAGACGTACCAATTAAAAAAATTTGAAAAACTTTAGTACCACCACTACATTTCACAATGATTATTTTTCATTTTCTCAGTAGAAGTATTTAAAAAAATATATATTTTGTCATTTGCACAACCTTTGGTTATTTGTATTAAATATGCACAAAAATATTAGATTAAAAATTATCATTTCAATTTAAAAAAATTAAGTTATAATATTTTAATTCTAAAATTTATTGCGAAATTTGGGCCTGCTTAAGTGAGATCAATTTCTTTATGCCTGGTCTTATTTCACTTGGTTTTGACCACTTTTAATTTTGTTCTGTATTTATTTTTCAAATACAACGTGAATAAAATCCTTGTTCACACAACTAGGTAGGCAATAAAATTTTAATAGCTTTATTTGAAATGCCTTTAAATTTTTTGTTTCAGTTCAGCCAAAAGTTACCAAGTGTGTTATTTTTGAAATCTTCAACTACAGTTCGATCACAGGAAATTTCTATCAGTTATTCTTTTTCTTCACGAGATAAAATTTCAGGTACATTTTAAGAAAATATCTAAAATTCTAATCCAATTTTCGTTTTCATAATCCTCAGGAAAATACACGTTGAAATTATTTGTCAATGAAAAATAATGTTTTTAAATGTCGGATGCTAATTCTTCTTTTATTTTCAAATTATTTTCAGTCAGAAAACTTTCTAAAAGTTGTAAAAAAGCTTAAAATATTATTATACAATTATTTATTTATTAGCTGGAGTTTTTTTATCATTGTATTTATTTTATCTCTAATGGTAAACAAATTAACACTTTGTTCTTGTAATCCTAAATTTAATTAAAAACTTTCCAAAAATATCAGCTAAATATGCTAAGCGTTCTAACCATAATTCACTAAATAAACATTTTTCAAATTCAAATTTTGAAACACAGAGGAGCATTTAAATTACTGATTGAAGTTCAAAATAATTTAAAACTGTGCCTTTGGATAACCATCCTACTTCAAAATTAACAAAAGCATTGTCCATTGCACATCTCTTGGCATAAAATCGTAAATATTCTTAAATTTAAAGCTTGGCTTTTAATAAAATGAAAAATTTCACAGCTTGATTCAGAATGATTTCCAGGTTTTCGGGGATTGTTTCGGCTACTAAAGCTTCAATGTGAATGGAGCAGTGTGTAAATTTAGTTTAATGCGCAACTTTCTTTATTTGAGAAATAACAGCGGAATGTTTTCCTGTTGAAGCACAACCTCCCTCACTGCATATAGGAGTGAACTTATTCCAAGGAATATCATTCTTAGACTTAAAATTGTCAGTTATTATGAAAATTTCATTTGGAGTTGTCCTATCATGAAGAGATTCACAAAATAAATACTCTTCGAGAATTAGTTTATCTTCTTTGAAACGTATGTAAATTAATAATTGAACAAAGCTCATTATATCAGTACTTTCATCCAATTGCAATGCAAAATATTAATATTCACTGTGCTTAATTTTTAGAGTAACTGTCTCTTTTATGAAATTCTTTTTGGTTGTCTCTTTTTTGTTGTTTCATGAATTCGCCAACTTACTGTATCATTTGATAATGGAATATTATTAAGTTCATTATCCTCTTAGATTCTTTCCTTCCGCTTAGATTAGATTCCGCTTAGATAATTATTAGATTCAGGATGTTGGGGTATTTAATTTTTGCATTCAATAGCAAAAAATACTTTGTTTCTTTGCGTGCCACCTATTTTTCTCATGCGTACCACCGGTTGAGAACCCTTGGGATAAAGCATTTTTTGCATAACCTAACATTACACATTGGGCAACTCATATTCGTTCTTTTTCTATGCTCATTTGTATACAATGAGCACAGTGGCATCTTTATTTCCCAGCTACTGAAAGATGATCCCCAACATTCAGTAGGCTCTAAGTGCTTTTTAACCCAGCAGTAATTTTTAATCTTTTAGTGGAACATACATGTTCTGAAATTCAAAAGCTTCCATTGGAGTTTTTTTTTAGGGGGGGGCAGTTGTATGCGAAATATTCATGTTTTGATGCAGCAGATGCGCTGAAAAAAACTTTGTTTATCCTCATACTTGTTTCCTCTTGGCAGTAACAAGGTAAGGTATTCTTTGATGGGATAATTTGCGACCTCTGTTGGGTTTAATTGTAAGAAACTCTGTTTTGTTGAAATAAATTCATCTTGCAGCACATTGAATCTTGTCAATTTTCTTATTATTTATTCAAGTGATTTTTTTTTTCTGAGAAAGGGTTTACTTTTCCATAGGAAAATTTATTTCCATTATTAAATTTAAAGGTATCATAACATAGACAGACATCTGCTACTGAGTGGTGCTAGTATATATTTGAATACTTACCTATTAATGCCACCCCAGCTGCAGATTTGGCAGTTTTTAAGTGCCACCAATCTACACCTAAAATTTTTGTGACAAATCATAAATTAAAACACTTTATTTAAAATCAAAGTAGTCAATCGGATTTCGGTGAAAAATGTGCCGATATATAGAGTTTAACATAGGTTCAAATCAGTCTCTATTTTCTTTGACCTGATGCTGCGACCATATGAACTCTGCTAAATAAGATTCTAAAAGATGTCTCGCTGTCCCCCTATGTCTTTTGTTCCTCCATTTTGCAATGCCCCATATTCTCTTATATCTTTGTGTATGAACTCCTGTATCAAGATCAATAAAATTGTATTTATTATTAACTTTAGCATGTAGGAATCCTTCTTTTTCTATTCTGTTTGTTTGGTAACCTTCCAACTGTCAGAATAAATTGTGCCCATCAGCGCAACTTCTGCTGCTGTGGTGTTAATACGTAAGTGCGGTGGCATTAATATGTAAGTACCTATATTTGCTATTTCTGTATGAATAAAAATTACAAATATAAAAAATATGTTAACAGATATATATTTGGTTTTATTCTGTGCATTTTAACTGTGCAGACTTTATAATCTTGTATGATTAAAAGGTGAAATATAAGCTAATTGTTACTTACATATAAGACTGTTGAACAAAATCTGATTAATATGTTGATGTAGCTGAATAGAGTTCAGCTTTATTTGATTAAAATGTATCATACTGGTTGCAAATGAATGTTACAAAGTAGCTGAAGTATACATTATAAATGAAAAATCATAATAATCTGATAAATTATTTGTTCAAATGAGATATAAACTTGACTGCATGAAGAGGGTTTATGTTTCCATTTACTTAAAGGTAGTTGCTGTGGTGAGTCCTAGTTTCATTTTCATTATTATATCATTAAATAACAAAAATATGTAACATTTTATTATATTTATAGAAAGGTTAAACTGGATAAGAGTATTATTAGAAAAATGATTATTTATTATTATATCATGATGTTACTGCCTAAATTTTTATTAATATTTCACTTATTATTATTAGTTTAATTTTTATTTATTTGATTTTAATTTTTTACTATAAATTTTTAAATCTTTGCTGTCATTTGTTCTATAACCCTAAATGAGCAAACATTCATTTTTTACCTGAGTTATGAAATATTTCATAAAAGAGATAAAATAATACAATTTAAAATTTAAGGTACATTAAGTTTTTTTTTTTTAAATTTTAGCTGCTATGGCTAATAATTTTTAACATGAATAATAATGAAACCTTACAGTCAAAAGAGGGGACTTTTCCATTAAAATCATACTACTTTGCCTTTTTTTGGTTGGCAAGTTCTTTTTTCTGTAACTAATTATCTTCATAACCACTGCTTGTTTTCATCTAATGACTTTTTTTTATAATACATAATTTTTTAGTACTTTCTGATTATCCACACTCTTCAAAAGGTAATGAAAAAATATTCATGAGCAAAGTGGTAGGTTGCCAAAATCGTCATGTGGCAACCCATGATGTCACCGAAAAATATTTATATGTCAATTCAGGTATAAATATAACACATGTTTGATTTCGCCTTAGCACAATGCTGAAGTTGTACGATGCCAAATTTGTGCGATTCTCTGATGTGTTTTTAAGTGAAAAAAGATTGTTGTATATGTGGGGACAGCAACAGTGCAAACAAAAAACTGAGATGTGTGTGTAGTACATTTCTGTTTTGGCCAGTGCACAATGCCAAAATTGTACGATGCTGAGTTTGTGCAATTTTCTGATGTTTTAATTGAAAAGAGATCTCTGTGTATGTCGAAAGAATGATAATGGGCTCAATGTTGACAATTCACTTATGTTTTTGAAGTACTGTGCCAATTTCAAGAAAAGTGGGAAAAAAAAGGATGTTCTATTATTGTTGTTTTTTGCTTTATTAATTTTATTAATTGACTGCTTTTATATGCAATTCTTAGAGCTCTGCCATTTTGAAAATGGCTGTTATCTTTTGTGCATTAGCTTGGCAAAAATTCAGTTGCCAGCTATTTTGCGAATGCTCTCCAGAGTTGGTAACGACTTTTCAGTGGGAGTGCGGATAATCAGAAATTAGTATTTTTGTATTATCATATCTTCAGTAATTATCAAGCTTATTCACAGAAGGAAAAATATGACATAGTCCATGTTCTTTCACCACAAAGGTTTTTTTTTTTTTTTTTTTTTTTTTTTTTTGAGTTAGTGTGAATTAGAGAATGTCTTCTTGTTGCTGTTCCTGATTGTCCTGATTCCTGCATCAAGCCAAAGATGTGGGTCAAAGAAATACACCAATATAATGCCAAAAATGCATGGTGTGGCTTTAATGGAAAGGTACACAAAAGAGCCTGTACTTTATAATTAAAAAATATTTTCAATGGGGTAATAGTTATATATTCTGCCTTATAATCAGTCATTAACTGATTTATGTATGGTTTTAGGTTGTGATAAGAAAGCTGTTGTTGAGTATCTTGTAAAAAATGGGATTGTGGATACCTTCTGTCTTATTTTAAAGTCTAGAGAATGCTTTTCTGCATCTACGTTTGCTCTAGTAGCTGAGATCCTAGCAGAAGTGGCAAAACTAGGTATGAGTAATTATCAATGGATTATTTTGTATTTGAAAAAAAAATATTCACATGTAAATTATAATTTTAGAAGTTACTATAAGTCACATATTTTACGAAATATATGAACGTATAGTGTATGTTTCTTGCATTTACAATTGTATGTGAATTAAATTATTTTCCTAAAGATATAGGAAGACAAAGCTGTAGTGATGGGGCAGTTATAATTCCTTTGCTTGAACTTCTATCAAATAATGATTCTAATGTGGTTCTCCAAGTATGCCGGGCTTTGGGCAATATTTGCTATGATAATGGTAAGAGATCAACAACTTAATGCATATTAAAAAAAAAAAAAAAAAAAAACTTGCTTTGAGTTTTTTTAACTATTCAGTATTATTTTTGCATGTGCAGGTACATCTTCAAAAATCTCTTTGAATTTAATTTAGTACTTTTTTTTTGTGTGTGTGTGAGGTAATTTTTTTCTATTCTATTATATAGCAAAAGTACTTTTTGAGCTATTATTTGTATTGGAAAGATTCTACATTTTAATTTTGTTGTTGTTGATTGTTATGAAAATTCGTTTGGTTGATTAAACATTATTTTATTGGAGGAAAAGATAATATGACTATTTTATGTCTTAAAATTAAAAATTTTCATTCTAAAATTGATAACTTTGAGAGAGATTTTTAAAAGTAGATGAGTGTTGACTAGTAATATTCGAGAAATTTTTTAATAAAACATACACTAATTCATATATATTGTTCAGCATTTATATTAAAAATAAGAAAAATTAAGCTGTGAAGTTTAGTTAAGAAATAGACAATTTGTTTAAATATTGATAATAGAATCATGTCCTTTGTGTATATGAAGGCAAAAGAAATAAATGTAATAATGTGTACAAATATTTCCTAAGCATCATTCATAAAAAAGGGTGAGAAGCAGCCAAGTATCCAGATCACTTGCTGTTCTTTCTGAGATGTTGATTTTGTTAGAGATTAAATTTGTTGATCTAGTTAGGCATTTTCATGTTTTAAAATTTAGATAATATTAAATGTACATATTTTGACAATGTACATATTTTTGAATATGTCAATGTACATATTATGACAATAATATGACAATGTACATATTTTTGAAGAAGTTGCTAATTTAAGTGAACATTTAAGCAATTATAAAAGTTATTAAATTATTTATTATATAAAATGGCCTAAAAAGCTCAGTAAATAACTATCTTGTAAATATGAATAGAAAAATAGTTTCTATGCTTACTATTCTTTGTTTAGTTTTGGGATATATTCAAATAAAAATTAACTTCAATGTTTTATTTAAATTTTTAGAAATATGTTGCATGATTAAAGAAGTAAAAAAGTATTTCATTGTTTAATTTAGTCAATAAATATTTTAAAATTTTTGTTTAGGAAAATATTTTTAAAAATGTTTTATGCCTATATTAATATAACATTTAAAATAAATTTAATTTATTTAATAAATTTAAATATTTTAAATAAAAAATAATTTAATTTATTTAACATTTAAAGTAAATTAAAATTTAATATATATTAATCTCTGCAGCTTCCATTGTTTGCATATAAATGCCAGTCTTGGTCTAAAGTTGAAACAAAGAAAAGAAGCTGTGTCTTCTCTTAAGAAAATAGAGGGGAATAAAAGAAAATAAAACTTATTTTTATAGAAGAATCCTAAGAACTTTAAAGGTTGCTGAATGCTTGAATGCTTATAAGTATCAGAATCACATGTGGTATTTTTGGTAGCATATCAGTGTGTACTAAATAACCAACGAGAAAGTAATTTTTTTATTCATTTTTTTAATAATATATATAAACATGTGAAATTAATGTAGAGTGGTTATGCTGGAAGAGAAAATGCATTTTCTAACTTTATATATAATCCAACATTTTCTATAGGAGCTTTAGATTTGGTAATTATTTTGTTAATTTCAGGGATTTGATTTTTATAGTTGATGTGATATTATATTAAAAATAGTCTGTTAAACTGTTTCACATTTACCAACTGCATTAGTGTAAATTTATATTAATGGTCTTCTAAAATAATTCTGTTCTTTTTTTTTTTTTTTTGTCTTAAATGATTTATGACTATGGATTAAATTGATAACACATTTGTTAGAGTTTGTAGAACAGTAAGTTGGAAGACAAAGAAATATTTATGTATTAATGGGAATATAAAATTAGTAACACAACAACTTTCAAATTTCTTTGCTCCAATGAAAAGCGACAATACGTGTTTGCCCTCGAAATTGACTGAGATCTTGACTTAAATCCACGGCTGTGGAGTCGGAATCAGAGTCATGGAGTCGGAATCAGAGTCGAGCAGATTTTGGGGTAAAAGGAGTCGCTAAAAACAGGTCAACGTCGACTTCAGTTTTTGTTGGACAGTTTGAATTTAAAATGAAATTAAAAGGAGCTGAATAATGACAAACTGAGTTATTATTTTTATTTATGGACTATATGCATTAATAAAGAGTTATTTTCTATTTTTTGACATATTAATAAATAAATATAATGGAGGGGGATGGATGTGATATTTGCTATTAGTGATTAAACTTATTCATTTAGTTACAAATCTCACTGGTAAATTTAGGTAAGCAGAATAGCAGCAGGAACTCCCAAAATTGATGCCATTCTTAGGAAATGAGCAGGGAAAGGAGCAATTATTGATCAAGCAACGCAATAAGGAAGTACATATTTGACGATAAAGAGGTTGTTAGAATTAAGAACTTTTTTAGAAGATGTAGATAACCCTAATGTTTCACTAACAAAAAGGACTGTGGAATGATCTTGCAGAATTGGAAACTCTTCTTTCTACACTGTATATAGCCACAAAAAAGCTGCAGTCTGAAGAATTGACAGGAAGCGAGAATGGAAGATGATTTGGATGGCGAATGTGATGTTTGTTCTTTCTGAAATGGAGAGTTTATTGCAGAAGGAATCATTTCTTCAATGAAGAAAAGAAGAACTAGTTTGCTAAACAATGAGATCTTTCTGGGTAGATCCAAAACACTGAATTTCCTTGGATGACAAACAAATTAAAAAGGCAAAGAAAGCCATCTATGAACTTTCATTAAGATAAAATTATTCTCAGAACAATTGGATAATTCAAATCAGGACCGTCAAACTGCAGACATTGCATTTGAGTCTCTATCATTCTCTTCCAGTGATGAATTAGATTTTGAGTAATATTTCTGTATAATATTGAAAAGGCTAAGGCAAAGCGAATGAAAATAAAGAACCAAAAGTCTTTAAATATAAAAATGAAAAAATACAAACAAGATTTCTACATGGCCTGTGAAGAACTAGACAAATATGATTGCACTTGCAAGACACCTCTTTTAGAACTCATAAAAAATCTATCCTGAAAAGTTAAAAGAAGTAGCTTTAACAGTAACAGCTCTTCCTCCGTCTCAAGTTAATGTGGAAAGACTCTTCTCAGCTCTGAAGTTTATCAAATTGGATCTATGGCCCTCCAACAAAGAAGGTCTTGCCGAATCTATACTGTTTTCTTAGAAATAACTAATACCAGTTTTTCCATTTCATAGTAAATGCTAATTAATATAAATAACTTGCTATTCCGTCAATCTTTTTTCTGTAGCATCTATTACTTCTTTTATATTAAAAAAATAAACTGTAACCCATGTGTATATGTTTACATATATTATATATATGAGGGTGTCGAGTTGGAATCTTTAAAATTTCAGGAGTTGGAGTCAATCATTTTCTCTACTGACTCCACAGCCTTGCTTAAATCTACACCAAACTCAAGGTTGCTGTGTTACTAATTTTATGTTTCACTTGGTGTGTTTCTCTTTTGCTTTCATGGAATATATTTGACATTTTGAGGTAGAATTTATTAGGTAGAAGATGGATTGTAAAGAAGAGTTTTTGCAGGAGATTTAAATAGTAATAATAGTTCATGAAAGTCCCTTATTTGATTGAAATAAAAATTTTAAAGAAATGCTTTAAAATTTGATGGTAAAATGAAGTATTACAGTTAATGGTAGACATGCTAATTTTATTTCTCTTAAAATTTTGAATTAAAAATTTTTATTGTTATTAATTAAAGAGGGCTAGGTGTTGACTGATTTGTAGGACTTCGAGAATTTACAAGTGAATTATTTTTGTATATTATATATGATTACATTGCTAAAATGAATTTATCTCTTAAGATGCAGCTCGTAGCTTAGTCAAAGAGCATAATGGTGTGGATCGGCTTATTCAGCTGCTAAGAAACCTGTTAGAAAAAGATAATTTGCCTGAAAACATGCGTACTATTACTTCTGGTTGCCTTTTGAATCTCACTGATACTTATGGTAAGCATCTGTTGATTAAGCAAATGTGTATTTATTTATATTCATTATTATTATTTTTCATTTAATGTAAGCAATTGAAAATTTAATGCTTAAACCTTGAGGGGAATAATAATAATAACATTTAATTTTAATTTCCATACTTTGCTCACAGTCAAGGCTCATATTTTAAAATATTCAAGATAGGGTCATTTTGTAACATGATAAAACAAAATTAAATCATGATAATGAATTTTATATGCTGGTCATTAAAGTAAAATGTATAATTATGGGGAGAATACATAACATTAATAATTTGAAATTAAAGGAAACCACTGATTAAATTAGATTTGATAGCATATATCCAGCATAGAGATTGAATTTATTGTTAAAAAATTTTATTTTCCACATCTGACATAAAAAAAAAATGAAAGCAATTTTCAGACTTTTTATTAGAATAACATGCTTTTTTTTTGCAAATATAAGGAAAAGTGAAACAAGTAATAAAAACTAAATTAACTAAATTAATCTGAGTTATATTGTTTATTTAACATGAGATATGTAGACTTTCATAGAAATTAATTAGCGTTTTCGCTGCTGGTCATGTGAGGTTGTGTTGATAGATAATGATGTGTCATAAAAATAGATCATACCCTTATTCCGACTTACTTATTATAAGAAATATGATTTAAAAGAGGTAGTAAAAGGTTATTATGCATACCACATTGATTACTAAGCCTTTAAAGCATATTATTTTATGACTCTGTGGCAAGGTGTGATAGGCACTAGAGATAAAATTACTTTTGCAATGCTGTGTTATGTGCTGACACATGGCATTTAAAAATGAATCAAAATAAGTAACAATATGAATTATTTTTTATGAAACTATATCCCAAACAAGTATATGTTTATTACAAATGAATTTCTTATAAGATAGTTACAATGATATAATTGCAAATGATATATTTCAGAATCATATTTTTGTATGTTCTTTGCATGAAAGGAAACTTTATTTTCATTCCAAAACGCATAAATTTAGAACTAGTTTCTAACCTCACACCTTCATGGCAATGCTAGTTTACATATTCAACATGTAATGCCGATTGAACTTAAAAATAAATGAGACATTGCTTTTCTCGCACCAGCATATGACTGGCACCTGAGACATCACTCCACACTACATGCCATAGTGTGATTTGCTTTTCAACAATAACACCAATCATGCACCAGTGCGTGATCAGCAGCAAATGTGTTAAAATAGATGCAAAATAATAATTGCAAATGGAACATTTAAAATTAGAGAAATTCTAGCTATATATTAGCATTAATTTTATTGGAAAGTGTATGTATTTCAAAAGAATCGGACATCGATCTTTCTTGTTCAAGAAGCAGACATGAATTTCAAATTATTAACTCTTTGAAGAAAAAGCAAAAGTATTCAAATATTTATGTTAGCAAGTAAAAATAAAATTTTATCAAATTAAAATATAAAAAAGTAATTTTAAAGGAAAATAATAAAAAGATTAATTATATTTGGGATTTAATGTAAGGATAATGCTTAAAAAAAATAGCAATTCAGAATTATTTTTTTAGCCCCGTTTTATTTTATTTTAAATACCAAATTATTTTCTGTCCTAATTCTGATAATCATATTTTCAAATCATGCTTAGATCTGTAATCCTGAATATTTTTAAATTTTGCAGAAGAAATTCAAGATCAAGCTATTGAAGCTGGAATTTTGGATGTGTTGTTGCAATATTTATTGAAATTCAGTTCTGATGAAGATGTTGTCACTCATTGTCTGTTAGTTCTCAGTTGTTTGGCAGACAGTAGTAAGTAGAAGATTTTTGAATGCACAGTTAAATTTTTATCTGATGTGTGTGTGTGTGAATAATTTATTTTAATAAATTATTCACATTTTAATAAATTATTAACACATTCTCTGTTAGTTAATATTTATTTTAATAAATTATTCACACACACACACATCACAATTAATTTTAATAAAGTGGTATTTTTGTATCTTGAAAGATAAATTTCAGTAAGGAATTAATAAATAATCAAACCTTAAAACTGAAGAAAATTTATCTTTTGCATTTAGCATTATCCTCTTAAAGAACTACATCAGGTCTGTATCTTGGAACTTCGTAAATGATTCTTGATGTTAATATTCTCTGTTAGTTCCTGAGTACATTAAAAAATTCTTTGGATTGGTTTCTGCAGCATTTCCATACAAATTCATGAAGCATGATATAGATAAGGTTCATTTGACCTTTAGAAGTACTTAAAAGCCCTGAGTTTTTTTTTTTTTTTTAGAAACTATTTTTGGTCCTTAAAAGTTCTTAATGTCAGCCAAAATTGGCAAAAGGTCTTTAATTACTCATCTGACATTTCTGTCTGTTTTTTTATGACTGCTATTTTGAGTGTGAATTAACATTTTGGAAGAATATTTTTGGCCATGCATTGACAAATATGTATTTGATGGGTTAATGTTTGAATTCTTTCCTACTTCTTGATATAAAAGGTGTGTACCTGAGTTTCAAGCGCGAGGCCCTGCCTTGATTGAACATAAACTTTTCGAAATAATTTCTTCTTTTTGCGAATGAAGAGTTTATAAAGTATTGCATCAAAAACAACTTTCCCTTTTTTTTTTAAATATGTGTTTTTTTTATTATATAGTGCTAAATTTAGAGGCTTATCAACATTTTGGTGTAATGTTATCATTATATTTGGTGTAGATAAGTAAATATAATGTTGTGTAATGTTTGATGTAGTTAAGTCGATTAGTAACATTTAGTCAAAATTTTGGTGTAGATAAGTCAATAAGTTGATTGATTTCAAGCCAGTTTTTACACAACAATTTTTTAAGATTTTTAAATTTTTTGACGATTGGTTTTTGAAAACGTAATAACTTTGATAAAGATCATAAAAATAATGGTAATATATTAAAATTATACTTAAGAAATAACATTAAATTAAAATATTTTTATTTTTTCCTTCCATATTTGAATGCGACATTGCTTTCTATTTTGATAGTTTAAGAATATTTTGGTTCTGAAAAATAAATGAGATAATAAATGGTGTAAAGAATAGTTTCCATAACAATTCTCAGGGGCGGTGGACTACTGTAATTATTTTTTAATTAATTTCATTTTCCTTCTTTAATATTTCTTCACAGTAAGAGTTTACCCTATTTAATTGTTTCAGAATATTTAAATGTGTACCAGTGTAATCTTGAAAATTCACTTTACACTTTTCTTTTCCAAACTCTTTTGTTTTTTCACAAATTTTGCCTTTTTGGTGTTACAGAGTTGGTAGATATAATTTTACTTTTGGATTTTTAGATCTTTCACCTTGGAAAGCTTAGAGGTGTTTGAAGGCAAAATTTATAGACCTGCAAATTTCCAGAAAAGTGTAATGAAATGAAAAGTGTTTTCATGTAATTAACGTGCAGTGGATATGTTTTATAGGAAATTTGTGATGAATTTCTTATCTTTAGGAGAATTTTTGGAAGAACAGTAAAAATAAAATTATTTGAATTTTCTTCTTTTGATCCCATATGTCTTTCTGTTGGCATGTTTAGCTTCCCCTTATTTTCTTATTTTACCACTAGACATAAGCACTGCTGAAGGGAGGGGGGAATAAAAAAAAATTGAAAGCTGACAATTTATTAAAAATTCATATTATATATCTAAGTGCATCATATGTACCTCAGTGCCTGCTCTTAAGTCTCAAAATTTTGTTGCTTATAGCTCCTTCACCAAATTCTAAAAAATTCTGCTACACTGGCTCTGATGCCTGCCCTAACCATTATATCATTTCATATTTATTCTCATATTATTAATTATTTCTCATTATTAAGGAAATAAAATTAGCAGTTCATTAGAATAACAAATAATCTTTAAATCTAAAACTAACTTTAAATCTAAAAATTGTAAAATGAAGAGAAAACTCATTGAAGAAGAAGAAACTGAGAATAAAGAGAGAACGTAATAACTCTGTAAAGAGAGAGAATAAAGAGGAAGAAAATTATTCTGCAAAAGTAGATTGTTGAAACATTAACAAGTTAGGAGATGAAGTAGATACTAGTGGGAACATTGATTTGTATATTGAAAGAAATAAACTTTGAAAATATACTAAAGAACAGGAAACTAATGTAAATTAGATAAAATATCTGGAACATTGGAACATTTTCAAGTTAAAAAGAGCTGTACTTGTTGTTGGTACAAAACATAAATGTTTTGCAGCTTTTAATGTAATACTAATATCATTTTAGAATCAATATCATAAATTATAGCTGCTGTAAAATGTTCTTAGTCCTTTTTAAGTGATATTTTTTTTTTAAATTGGAAAAAAAAATTGGAATTGAAACTATGTAAAATCTATTATAATTAAGGGTATTTCACTAGGTAATTTAATTATTTGTAACTAATTGCTTATCCTTAGAAGTTATCTCTATATGTTAAGGTGAGTTATCTCCTTTCCTTAAGCTTTATTCTGGATGCAAGACAACTCAAAAATGTAAAAAGTAACTTATTTACTTTCAGCTTAACAAAACAAAAATGTAGAAAGTAACATATTTAACTTATTTCTTACTGCTAATGAGATGTAAAAGATTGCAAAACAACCTACCGGTGATGATGCTTTAGTGGCTTGATGAACCTGACGCTTTAGTGGCTTATTGGAACTTTATATTAAATTCTGTATATTAACTGTGTTATAACTCCAGCAAATCTATGTGAAGCTAACTGGATCAGCAAAGTGCAGCTACATTATAACACTTTGTTTTGAGGTTTGTACAGTCCTTAAGAGTCCTTAAAAGTCCTTAGGTTTTTTGGAATGGATTTTTTGGTCCTTAATATTGGTCAAAATTGGCAGAAGGTCCTTAATTTTAATTATCTGAAATTTCTATTTGTTTTTATGATTGCCATTTTGAGTGTGAATTAGTATTTTTAGAAATATTTTTGGTGATTTACTGACAAATATCGTTATCTTTTGAATGGGTTCGTAGGTTATAATTTGTTCCTATTTCTAATATAAATGGTGGGATACTCGAGTTTCTGAGCAAGAAGTAAAACATAAGCATTTCAAAATCATTTCGTTTTTTCTAAAGAGTTCTTAAACAATTTTTCGCTTTAGGGATGTAAATTTTTTTATTAAACTGTCTAAATTAACGACATTTTGGCAATTTCAATAACAGTTTCTATAGAAAATGTTTAATTCCGAGATCTGGGAATTTTCAACGATTTTTTTTAAAACATTGTAACATTAATAAATTTCATTAAAATAATGGTAATATATTGAAATTATATCTAAAAAATAAGATTAAAATAAAACATTCTTATTTTTTGCGTCTATGAAATAAGTTCTATTTGGCCATTTATTGTACAATATTTTGAAGCTGAAAATAAAGAAGGTATGCTATGCACAATTTACAAACATTCTTAGCAAATGGAAAATACCTATTTATACCGATGTAATTAATTAAAAGTGTCTTCTTTGAATTTGTTCATAGTAAGAGTTTTTCCCATGTAATTGTTTTGGAATATTCAGAATTCTGAGAATATGCATAATGTTTCTCTGTAAAATTAATTTTACAGTTTTCCCTCTTGTTTTTTTTTTTTTTTTTCCCCAAAAAATATCTCTGGCTTTTTGCTGTTACAGAATTGGTAGGGGTAATTTTTCTTTAGGATTTTAAACATTGCAGCTTGGAAAGTTTAGAAGAATTTGAAGGTAAGATTTGAAGGTAGGATAGACCCACAATTCTAGAAGATTCCAGAAAAATGTGACAAAATAAAAAATATCTCCATGATCTTAACACATAATGGATGTATTTTACAGAAAGTTTGCGATGAACTTCTTACTTTTTGGAGAACGTCTGGAAGAACAACAAAAAACATAATATTTGAATGTTTTACTTCTGATACTAGAATCTTTTTCTTAACATATTTATCTTCCCTTTATTTTCTCTACTTTTTTCTAGACCCAAGCATGGAAAATATCAATCAAAATGCTTCTAAACGTATGACATGGACAGGCAGTATAGAAAGGAATTTTTTATTAATAAAAATTGAAAACTGACAATTTAAAAGACTCGTCTAATATGTCTTATTGCATCATACACAGAACTGGAGCTAGACATTTTCTTAACTTATGCAATCTCTGTGGATTCAAAATTCTGCTTCCAATGCCTGCTCTAAATTCTAAAAGTTTTCCTATTTCTAGATTTTGTTGCTCGGTGTGTCACTAAATAAAAAAAATTCTGCCACACCAGCACTGTAACCGGTCCCTACTGTATATATTTCGTATTTCTTCTGGATGTTCATATTACTAAAAAAAAATAAAATTAGCAGCTTTTTCTATACATTCTAAATACATTTAGTGTTTTTTTTTTTTTTTTTTTTTTTTTTTTTAGAATAATAGAAATCTTTAATTAAATCCAAAAATGAAAAAATGAAAAAGAAACTGAATACATGAAGAGAAGGAATATTATTGTTCAAAGATACATATAGTTATTATAATGTAAATTACCCAGTTGTTTATAATTTCAGCCTTTAATATAATTTCCCATTTCTATTTCCTCACCAGAATACAAATCACTTAAGCAGTTTTTAAACTGAGTTTTTTGGAGTATAAGACAGAGTGTGTTTCTAACCTCTGCTTGCTCACTATGTTAGTTCCTGCCAACTCTGATAATTTGTAATTATTCATCTTTGCATTATCAATGCCGACATTAGAATTTGTTAAAATGATAGAGTTAGGGAGCCAGCTTAAATTAAAATTAAATTGTATAATCTTTGACCGCTATTCCACATTTTTAGTTTGAATTTGACATTTCTT